CTGAGTGCGACTAGTCCACAGTGTTTACCTTGTAACGCATGTCTCATGTTAGATTGTGAAATTTTGTAAAGAGCTGCAGCTTTTCTCTCGGAAAGTTTACTTGTTCTTATATCTTCAATACATTCCAGTAACTTTTTATTACAATATATCCGATAGAAATGACATCAGCCTCACGGTGATAAGTTGTCGCCATCGTAAATGATAAGTCGGAAATTAAATAAATATAATTCAACAATCAATAAATCCCCCGCTTGGAATGTAAAAGTACATTAGGGTAACTTTGTTCCTCACGAGTTAAGTTTGAACTCCCTGGTACTCAGTCACCCTCATTTAAAAATGATGAACGGAACAATAAATGGTACGAATAAATTGTAGTTTTTATGTTAAGTAGTACGAGTAAACTAAATAATTATAGTGTTACAATAACTTGCATTCCTCACTCTACAATAAAGCCACATTTTATAATAGTATACTGAACGACATAACTCTATAACAATAGCAATAGCAATAGCATTCTATTTTCTGCGTCTGACAACGTCAGTACGATATTTGCACATTTAGGCAACTAATATTTCGCATTTAGGAAAAAGATCAACTTCACCATAACACTCATGAACTTATTTTAAATTTGAGTGTTAAGTTCCCTCTCATTTGATAGATAAGTAGCCTACTTAAAAAAAATATATATATTTATAAATCCCATTCATTTTTCTTCGTCTTCGTGAGCGCAAGCGAACATAATAAATGTTATTAAATCAATATGCTTCATTTTCCAAGATCTAACACAAACGAAACTTTACCTAACTTCCTTTATGTACTTGTCGGTATACACTTAAAAAAAGTAAATAATATGCAGTAACATTTAAAAATCATAATATATTCAAAAGTACATGAAATGTTAATGAAATTACAGTGAACAAATAATGCATAATACGTTCATTATTAGTCCCTTAATTAACTGTTGTTGGGACAAGTTAGTATAACGTGAAGATGAAGGACAATTTAGGTATTATTGGGTAGCTATTAATGGAGAAGGGAATCTCTCTACATTATTTTATCGGATTTCGACAAACGTTTTAATTTTAGTTCTGAATAGCATAATGTTGAAATTTTTCTTACTACTTCTGGGAATATTTATTTCTTGATTAACGTTCACGCGTCACACAAGACCAGTACCTAGATCTGGGCGCAACCACAAGATCCTGTTTGCGCTCATGAATCTGGCAAGGACGTTCTGAAATGTGTTCAGGAAGCTTATTTCCGTAAAGAATCGAAAGAAAAATAACGGAAAACAGCTTCATCATTCACTACTTCATAAAAAAGCGAAAACCGTCAATGTTTAAAAAATCTATATTATAAATCGCAAATGAAGATTCCAGTGACAAATTAAAAATTCTATTTCATCGTCAGACGTTTTGATATCTTTTGCAAGATCCTCTTCACTTCATGAAATTGTATTGTTACAATTTTATACAATATTTATGTCAGGGTTTATGTGTTTATACCATATCTCTAAGTTAATTGCTCGGTAATAACGTGAAATAAGAATAGTTTGTGTTGAAAAGAGTGTATTTTATTGTTATCACTTATAGGGAGACATATTGAACAAGTAACGGATGATAAGAATGTCTTGAAGAAAAATATATATTACAAGTTTAATATGGAAATGGAAAAATAGGAAAGAGGGCGGGCGTTAACATGCTAGTTCTCGCATCGGTATGCTAGTAATGCTTATTTCTCGAAATACGTACGCATATATAGAGTAATATATGTAATTTAGAAATAATTATGGAATACTATGTTGGAAAGTGCCGATACCGCAAAAGTAGACTTTCTATCTCGTATATTTAGTAAATTAGTTTCTCTAATACGCAGGGCAGTCAGAACTCACGTTTTGTGGTTCCTTACTACTAAAAACACTGTTTTTGTTTTCTCGCATAACTAAGTATATGTGGAGTAATTTACTGTTTGTAGAGTAAGTTAAGGATCGCGGAGGCACAGTAGAGAACTGGCTTTAAAACTGACGGTCACAGTTTTGAATTCCGAACTGATTTCCATTATATTGAATACGAGGTGACACCCAAAATATCCGAGATTTTTATTGTTTCCGTCAAACCAGTAACAGTATGACATTGCGCCGCTCTTGCGATACAAAGTTGCATCATTTTTGGAGGATGCGGTGGTGAATTATAGTAATGCGAGTCAGGACATGTGTCAGTACTTCTGCATATTGCCGAATGGAAAACGTTCAAGTTGAAGAAACTGCAGCTGAAACCCATCGGATGCTGTTAGAGGCATTTAATGGGAGCGCACTGAGTCAAGCAAGAACATTTTTATGGTTCAAATGCTTCAAGGCAGGCCGAGGGTCTGTGGAAGATGACCAACATTCTGGTCTTTTCAACACGCATACACCGGAAATGATCATGAAAGTGCGCGCTGTGATTCACGCATCCAGAAGACAGACAATTCACGATGTTTGTAACACTGGGGTTATCGTACGATACATGCAAACGACTTCTAGCCGATGAAATGGACGTGAGACGAATTGCAGCGGTTTCCCCCTCGCCTTCTCAGCTTCGAGCGACGACACTTCACGATTCACATGTGCACTGAGTTGCTAGGTCGGGAGTGTCCAAATTTCTTATCAGGGTCATAACGGGTGATATATCTCGGGACTGTGGTTGTGACACTGAAACGAAGCAGCAGTCATCACAGCTCGTATCTAGTGATTTTTATTCTGATCTTTGAGGTCGACCCAGCCTCCTTGCCTGTGAGTGCCAGGATCTCTCTCGGGGAGCACTGCCTTTTCACCTTTCCTTTGTGAGGCACACATAAGTCTGTGTGTTATTGCATGAGGGTATCATTACCTTTTTCAGAAATTTATGAAATGCTGAGGAAAAGCGATTTCGAAATTTTAATAGAAATACAAGTTTCGGCGTTTCCTGACACCGAAAAGATGTTTGGGATTTTTTAAAACGCCCGTCTATTGTTCCAAGATTACAGATGGGTTTTGCATTGTTTACAAAAAAAGTCTTTAATGAAATGAAAACTTGAGGAATATATAACAATTTCAATTTGGCTTGTTTCCCCGAAGCATTCTTGGCTATCCGGGATGAGCCGCGTTTCGATCAATTGTACTGACGTTTCGGCCATCTTGCTGTGGTCTTCTTCAGAGCTATCAGCAGAATAGTAGTAGTAGAATTTTGACAGTATATGTAGTAAAATTGTATTAGATTTTTACTGTAACTATCAATAATACTAATACAGGATTTATAGCTCAGATTATTCATTTACCAATTCAAATTCGGCTACATTTTATTAAAAATCATCTAAAACATATAAACCTTTTGCAGCACTGAAGTATGTGAAATATCCAAAAAAAAGTATTTTACCTGATTTGGACAGCGGCCCTAATATTTTTAAACTTTCAAAATAAACTTTGGATATTCACAGTAGATTATTTATATACACGCCGTTCTTTTGTTACACATTCCAAAACAATTTTTTTTTAATTTTTCACATTCAAAATTGGTTTGATTTTTTATTAATAGATTTCCAGTGCTTGTTCGGCTAGTTTTGGAAGGCAATTATTATTTGAGATATATGTTGTTGAAATAATATATTTGTCTACAATACTATCGAGACTAGCAGCCCACTTTATAATAAGATTTTCTTTGAATGTTCTTTGAGAAGACAAGAGGGCTGGGCTTATAGGAAACACTGATGATACAATTCCATCTTCTTATGTTGGTGAAGTTAAATTCGCCAGTTATCTCCTCAAAACATACGGCAACTCGAATATCGCCTCCAGAATTGAAACGTAACTCGTACACCTAAGCAAATTAAATTAATTACATTTCATCAAACATTAATGAAAGTGCCCCTATTCTAGAAATGCAAACAATAATGAATTATGTATATTTGAAAATGAGACATTTTAAATACCTGGTCATTGCAAACAATGAATATATGCATACATGATGGATATATTATAAAACTTGTTCAATAGTATACGAAATGATCAGTTAGAAATAATATAATTACAATAATTTTAAACAAATAGAACAGAATAAATGACATTTACTTAGGTTAGGTTATACTAAATGGATTTAAGGACTATTTTGCATGGTGCTCACAAAAGAAATAATCAATTTTAATTATGCAACAAGATTCCAAAATGAATTATAAATACCTCCATTGCTGGTAGGGCGAAAATCCTAGCAATGTATTTGTCTATCACCAGTCTTCTTAATATCATCATCCGAAATACCGAAAACAAAGAAATCATTACCCTGTTTTAACCGTCAAGTTTCACACCCCTGCCCAAGACTTCAGTCTCCGAGCTACGCGCCACCATCAATCTCACAGATGCCTTCCGACCTGTAGGGCTAATCACTTTCTGACCCTTCCGAGCGCAAAGGGCTACAGCCCACTGGCTGGAGGAATGGTGAGAGCACGGAGAAATTTAGAATTGTAGACAGTAAGTGAAAACAGTGCTAAGTGTCAAAAATGGGATTCCGAGGTAATTAAAAACAACTTTCAAAAGGTCGCGGGAGTTGACTAATGCTCAATCTGGTGGCGACAATTTGAACACCTAAGAATGAGAATTGTTATTACACTGAAAAACGCACATGTGCAATACAGTGTATTAATACATATTAAATATGTTATAACCACCTTCATTGTCTATTGTATTCTACGATTTAATCTTAGTGGCACCCATTAACATAAAGATTTACATCCATGGAGGTATTTAGGATCAAGCTTGATGGAGAGGGAGGACACTTAACTAATCGAGAGCTTCGTTAAGATTAAATTTTTATTATTGGAGCTCTTGATTAGAAAATAATATCCCCTTTCCTTCCAGTTTGTGATCTCGACGCCCTTTGTATTTAAATTGAAGTATTGTATTCAAATTGAAATATCAACCTAGCGTCGACATCACAAAACACTCACATATTTGCCTATGGTCGACATTTACTCTTTGAGCCGAAGAATACGGGAAGTGAAGCAAAGTGAAGACAAGTGTATGTATGAAAAAATACTGTCCAATGAAGTACAGAGCTCTATAATGTTATAGGGCTCTTGGTATTTGTGGCACCTTTGAAAATTAGAACACGTTAAGGTATAATATACTCAAATTGTGTTGAACCATTGCTCTACAAATTTTCTTCGTAACATGGACGAAATAAATATATTGTCGGAGAGTGTAATAAAAGAAGAAAATGTAAGTTTTATTTTTTAATCAAATATCTTTTCCCACGGTAATCATTTACTTCTGTTTTTAAGGTTACAAATTGTTACAATTGCAAATTGTTATAATAAAATCTATAAAATACTATTAGCATTATGTACATTTTTTTTATAAAAAGGTTTATTTGCCCTCACAATCAAGTTTGGTTGTGAGTATTTATTCTACTGTTTAGTAGTTATGCAATTATTTTACAAACTGTGTAGACCTACTTGTATATTACATTGAAAAAGTGATGAATATCAAATTCGTGTCTAGGTGTGGGTGCAGTGAGTTTTCTAAAATTTTCTGCCTCTCTTGTAGGTGAAACAGGAACCTGATGATGATCCTGAAGAGGAACCTTACAATTTCACAGTGAGTTGATTGTTTATTATCATAACAGTTACTAAACATAAGAAGCTGATGCTGTGTTAATTATCTTTCCAGTCATTGGGGGTTTGGGAAATACATGTGAATGAATGAAGGATTGTTTTGTGTATTTCGTAAGAAGAAATACTTAGTGATGTTAGCAAGTTTTGTGCTAAAAAAGGTGGCCTGGGTAAACAGAATTTGCCGTAATTGTGAGGATGTAAATTCATATTTTAGAAAGTACTCTTAAAACTTTCTTTAATCCTTCCATTGAGAAGTAGTGCTTTAAATTTGGAATACAGTTGCATTGAAAACAGAAAATTCAGGTCTTTGAGGAAAATACCATTTTTGAGCAGTTTTTGTGAGAATATTCCACTATGAACTTAAAGTAGATTTGTTTTCCCATAATGGGGAAACTTATTGTGAAATGTCCACAATTTATTTTCCTATGGCAGCTACTATGACTTGACTATTACCGAATTGTGGTTATGAAACAATTATTAAGAGTTGGTGCTTATTGACCTTGACTGAATTTTTTGTCTTTGGTTAAATAAGTAAACAATAATGTTTGCTGCTAAATAGTAGTTGTCTCTGTAGTGAATGCCTAATTCAGTACAGTTTTTTGTTCATAGACTTGCACATGTCATTTAAAATTAGGTGGATATTAATTACTAATTCTCATTAAATTACAAATTAATACAATTGAAGAAAAAGTCTATGAAAATTATTTAAATATTACAATATAATGAAAATATTAAAATTATTACTGATAATAATAACCCGAAGGAAATTAAATTTGTTACATTATGTGTTAAGTATTATTGTAAAATGATATTATACTATAATGTTGTGTTTATTTCATTATAATTAGCTGGACCCCTGAGGAAAATCGGCACGTTGGAAATCATTGTTTTCAAAATGAAAATTGCTTCAAAGTGAGAGCCAGTTTCTGAACTGTACCTTACAGTATTGTAGGCCCCCGGTCTGCAAGAGTAATTATCCTCATATTTTTAAGAGTTGAGACAACTGCACAGACAGTAAATGTTTTCCTATTATTTTATTGTGAAAGATTATTTCTGTAATTTTTTTTCAATTTTAAAAAAAATTCTAGTTTCTGCACTTTTATAATCACCTATGGTAACAACAAATTAGATAAACCAGCATTCCCACAAGGAATGTAAATGGCTACTCTCTTTCCTGGTGGAATGACATAAAGAGTGCAGCTATTCACACAGACATCAGAATGCAAGTAGGTAAGATTTGCCAAAACATCTTCAGGCATTCATTCTCTAAAACTCATATGAGGACTACTATCTATCAACACATGCATAATCCTAATGGTTTCACTTGTGATATGTACTTGTAATATACTATTTAGTTTCTCCTATTATTGTATTTACTAAATCGATTAATGTGGTAAAATAGCCCAATTTTTCTGCTTGGAAATTATAAACTGTATTGGGTATAAATTGTTGTCAGTTATATAATTGGAGAACTATAATTTGTTCTGTCTGTTTTTTCCTCATATCCGTGTTCATTGACATCTGTTCCTTCCTCATGTCCACTTGCATTAGTTCGTTATTCTTTCCCTTTTGCTTTTATTAGTCTCAACATTGATATCTTGTTTTTAATGTTCGATTGTAAGTTACCATCATGACCAAACTGTTTTATGAATTCACTTAACTGCTTGAGGCACATACGGATCTGGTTCCTAGTATTGCATCCCAGATCTACATGAACAAAATACCCTTCTTTTTTGTTCCTTCTTCAGAGTTGAGGCACTTCTTTAAATGATGGCAGCTGACATTGTAGGTGAAATTAGGATTTTTGATTGTAGGTGATATATGTAATAATAGCACTCTTTAATTTCAGTTTTAAGAATGTTCCTTATATTATGGCTGTCTCTATATTCCATAAACATTTAAGAACAAATAGCTATAAAATTCACTTCGAAGTTACGAGTTGCAGAGCTAATTTTTTTTAATGGTAGTTTGAAGTTGAATTTTCCTCCGTAACATAAAAAATGTCAGTTAATATTACTGAACACCTCAACTGTAACTGTTGTAAATGTAAATTTATTAAATCGGTGAAGCAGAGGAACTGGCTTATGGCCTGAGGCTCGCTACAAATAAAGATAATTTGATTTTATGATTATTATTATTTTAATTAGTGTTTTTATTTTACAATTTATCAGCTTGTCACAATTGTATCTCATCATTGTTATTATTATGTGGAAGTCCAACTCTTGGCAGCCCCCTGACTACGGCTTACGGCCACTAATAAAGCGTCAGCCAATGCTCAAACTGAAGCAAAGCCTGACCAGCGACTCTAATGGCAGAAAAGGCACGAGTATCGAATGAAAGAATGAATGGCATGCACATCAAGCAGCCAGAATGTTTTTCAAAATTATTTCTTCTACTCGAAGATCTTTTGGGATAATGAATTAAATTTGGTTATGTAAATGGATTAGAATGAACCAAATTTCTAATTACGTTGATTACCTGCTGCATGAGTCATAGAACATGGTTTACAATGCTGTTGATACAAACGATAAATATAATTCTTTTTTTTTTCTTAACACTTTGTTTATTTTAACAAATGCTTTCCTCTTCTAAAAAGAATATTAAATTATTTCTTGGAGAAACGGTTTTTGAATATATTAGGAGGAATAGGTCGTCAAGTAAAAACAATCGAATTCTTTTATTTCTAAGCATGATAATGTATCTCAAGATTTCCACCTGTACTTTAAAAAATACAAAACATTGTTAAGAATAGTCATTAGGCAGGCTAAAATCATGAAACACGATCAGGATATTTTGAATCCAAATAGTAAAACAAGCAATGTGGAATATAGTAAAATATTCTACCAAATGGACTAGAACCCATTGAGAATGTGAACGATCCGGCAATAGTGACTAGTCTCTTTATCCATTACTTTTCGAGAATTGCTGCCGATCTCGCTAAGGGTCTTAAGCCACAGAAATCAACATCAGACGTTTCGCCAAAAATTTTTGACACAATGTTCGTTTCCGAAATTCTGTCTATGAAATTCTCAAAATAATCGGTAAACTGAAAAATAAATATTTGTCCGGTTTAGATGAATTTCCGGATTATTAAAGACTTGTGCGCCTGTCATTATACACCCGTAAACTCACGAATTTAATGCATCCTTATGCACTGGATTTTTTTGCACATATTTTTGAAATGGCTAAAATTAAGCCACTTGTTAAAAAAGCCAAATAATTAAATTCAAAATTATCGGCCAAATTCTCTTTTATCGGTTGTTTCAAAAATATTAGGGATACTTTTTTACGTACGAATGGAAACCTTTCTCAGTACGACGCGTTTTTATGTCGGCGACATGGATTTCGAAAATAAAAATCTGCGGAGACAGCCTTATTTTCATAACGATGTCGCCTCTTCGATGGATCAAAACGAAGTACCTATTGGAATATTTTTAGATCTTTGAAAAGCTTTTGACGTCATTGATCATAACATTTTGTTTCAAAATGGCCTTCGTATGAAATCCGTGAAATTGCTATAGATTACTTATGCTCGTACCTTAAACGACGATCTCGGAGAGTAGAAATACTGTACTGGAATGATGGAACGTTATGTACTCACATTTCCGATTCTTTGCCAATTGCACGTGGAGTCCTGCAGGGTTCGAGTTTAGGCCTTATTCTCTTCTTACTGTATGTAAATGATATGCCCGCGACTATTCGAAACGAAAGAACAGTTCTCTTTGCGGATGATACGAATATTATTTGCAATAAAGAAAACGTAAAAAGCACAATTTCAGATGTTTCATATTGATTCATAATAAGAAATTAATAGCAATTGAAAAGAAAACCGTTTCAGTTCAGTTCTCATTTCAAATAAACAATTCTGTACTCCATTGAAAATGAACGGTGTGCCATTGACCAAAGTTAATGTAACAAAATATTTAGCTATCTCAATTCCATCAAACCTTAAATGGATTGTCCATTTTAATGAATTGATCACAAAATTAAATGAATTACGCTAGGCTTTTAGAATTCTTTATAATTCAGTCAGCCTGAATATTGCTCGTTAGGTTATATTTCATGAATGTGCATTCCCGCCTGAGAATTGGCATAATATTCTGTGGAAATACTTCTTATAGCTTTCAGACTTTTAGATTACAAAAAATTGTTCTAATAATAAGCAAATCCCACACATGTAATTCTTGTAAGCATGTTAATTATTTTCGGAATTTTACCATTACCTTATCTCTTGATATCCGAATCAGTGTTTTTTGTTGAAAATGACGTACTTAGGGGCGGGGATATATTTTCATCCATTGCCTGTGTCAATATCTATTACACTGTATGTAATAATCATATTCATCAGGTGACTGTATCAACAGCTTACTACAAAAAATTAATACAATACAAGTAGTCCTACTTTTAGTTCTATCACTTTGCTAGATGACATTAGAAGATTAAAATCGATACAATACTTGTACGTTACTTTACAAAGCACTGACAGATGACATTAAACAATTAAAGTCGGTTCACAAATTTAAGTTCAAAGTAAAATCTTTTCTGCTGCATAACTGTTTCTATACAATTAGAGACTATACTGATTATCAAAAAAAAAAAAAAAATTATTTTAACAAAACACTGATGTATAAAGAAGTAGTTTACGTTTATATTGTATAATTTTTTTAAAACAACTTAATATACTTGTAACAAATAATATACTTCAGCTTCCGGGTCAATAACCCCCATCTCGATCAGGTTTTTGTAGTTTCCCTGATCCATTGAGCAAATGCTGAGATGGACCCTTGTTTTGCTTCTGGATGTAAATGTAGCTTCACTATGCGCATGTTTTGTTGAACTCTCCTTTTGCTTGTAATGGTAAGAGGAGAGGTAAGGGGCAGTTGCTATTTTGTTAGCAATACAGAAAAATTAGTATTTGGTCAGCAGAGAAGAAATTCGCGTTGCTTTTTGAGAAAAATTAAGACTATCTCCGAAGCGCCAAGTTTGAAATGTATAGTTCTTACCTCTGAAACGCCTTCAATGAATGTGAATGAAAATGTGCACAAAATTCACTTCTCCGTAAAGCATGTCACACACAGTTTTTGACATAAATAAATAATTGCGAGTGCTTTCAGTCAAGTGTTTCACAATTAAAAATGGTATGAACTGACAAGCACGACAGTGTTCAGCAAGGATTGAATTGAAATGTCTGGCAAAATGTATTTCTTAATGATACTGAGCTGGTTCTACTGGGTAATGCAGTTGCCATTTGGATATTATAATATACGTTTTCTGCTGTTAGAAGAGCTTGATGTTTTTTAATATTTGCTGATCTGAAATACTGTAGTGGCAACACACCTGGAGATTATGGAACATAGTCATGATACTGCATGTTTTCTTTTTTTATATTCTATTTTTCTCAAGGATTGGGCAAGAGTGCCTATTTCTTCTTCTTTTTGTCCTTCATCATCTTCTCTCCCTGGGTCTGTTGTCACCTCTTTTTCCCTTAGGTCTGTAAAACTACATTTATTCTTTGAATTCTTTCTTAAACCATTCTATCCGTATGGACCCTCCATGATTGTTTGTACACGTCATTTTTTCAATTAAATTATCTTTATCCAGTTCTTTCCAGACATATTTGGTTGTGACCTTATTTCGTGCATCCTTTAACTGAGAAAAATAATTTCTTCTGCTTGAATTTGAGTGTTATGTTTTCTTTTTCTTATTCATAATTCACTTTGATAAGAATAGCAGCAGCCATTATATAAAATATTGGTTGACCACTGTATTTATTACTATTTTTGAATAAACAGAATATTTCCGTAATGTGCCATAAACGTGTCTTCTTTTAGACATTATAGAAGCTTCTTAAAGTAGATGTAGTTTATAAACTTTCCTTTGTAAATCTTCGTTTCTTGTGATATTGTTACTTGATCTGTGTAAAGAACAATATTTGGATGTTTATACCTCTTCAGGTTTAATCCGCTATAATTCTGTATTTTGATAAGATAGGGAAAGGCGTTACAGATATGTAGGAAATTAATGAAAAACGATGGAAAGAACCTCATAAAAGCCTCAAGTGTACAGGAGCCATGAATTTCAAAACCAAAGAAGTGGTAGGCTATAACAGTAAAGTGGAAGGCATATGGACCATATTACTTTGTTTAGTTTCCATGCAATGTTTATAAAGACATAATATTTTGTTATTAACCAGACTGCAAAAATGATAAATCGTAAATGGAGGACTTGGCAAGAATTTAGTTAATCCCTAATTCTGTTTGTTTTTTAAAGACTTAGTTTAATTGTTTAATATTTCTATTGTTCTGTTGTTTAATGAGCGTGTTTTGTAATGAAATAAGATTGAAACACCATACCCTTACTTCATACATATTTAGAGTTGATCTATAAGTCATTGAATTTCAAGGGAACTTCTTAACATTATCAACTTCAATATTGATCATCTTATGCATTAGTGTTGGAAATATACCTCTGACTGAGATAAGCATGTCCACCATTGTACTTTCACATTAATTCAAAATGTAAGTGAAGGTTATAAGAGAATGATCCTTTGAGGTTATCAAATTTTATTTTTTAAATAATAGGACAGTTTCTTTCTTCCTCTCTTTGTCTTAATTTTTTTATTTTATTTCTTCCTCCAATAATTTTTTTCTTCTTCTTTCTTTCTCAAATTTTCTTTGTCTTTGTGAACTAAAAATATGAGTACTTATGTGTTGTAAATTTTTAATTTCAAAGTTCAAGTATATCATGAATAATTATTATAGAGATAATTTAATTTCCAGTGCTTTAATTTATATCTTTGCAGGGTGCAACCCCCCAAAAACAATTATTTTTGTTTTAAACTAGTAACCTTTGAGAAAACCATTTAAATATTTTAATGATTTTTTAAATTATTTCAAATGAAGTAACTAATATTAAAATAATAATGCAAAATTCACCTCAAGCTCGTACAAAATAACACAAGTACAAAACACTGTAAACTGACTGTCAGATATAAACTTCATTTTCTAGTATTTGAGGGAACTTATATTTCATTACAACAAAGAAGGTAATCTTTCAGTAAAATCCAAACATGTTTGACAACATTGCTACGTGTTTTGCATTTGTTACTTTATTACTCAAACATAATAATGTTAGAATGAAATGAAAGCAAAATTTAGATACCAAAAATGATAATAAGAATTTGAAATCTTAAAACTGGAGATTTGGGAAGATGGAATGGATTCTTGGATTCCCTATTAATGTTGCCAAAATTAAATATGTTTCAGTTTGACTGTCCAAATGATGAAAATAGGTAATTTATATGACCAAAATTTAAAAAATCACATTTCTCAATTACACCCCAAAAAAATATTAAATCCCCAAAAAAAACCTAGTGTCATTGTTTTTAAAAATTCCTTAATTTTCCCTACAGTGCATAATTTGCTGCACAGTAGATCCTGTCTAAATATCCAGTAAATGGGATGCAAGTTTTTTTTAGCAACTTACATTTTAAACCTCTGGTCAGTTTGTTAGTGGCATTTCCCCATTGCAGCAACTGTTAAGTAGTGTACTGTTTTTGTGTGTAGGAAGGAGACGAGCACTGCCCCTTGAAGGGAGAAATGAAGATGGAAGATGACGAAGAGGTGAGTTGTGTTTTACCTGTTTCTTCTTTATACACTTCATTTTTATTATTGAGTCTTTGACGCCTTTGGAATATAAATGTTACATTTATAATTGAGTATAGTAATTTTAACTAGGTACAATGTACAGTTTTAATCTTGTATGTCTGTTGGATGATTCTAGTCTCTGTGGGCACAGACACTAATACTAAGCAATTATTTAAGAAAAAAATGAATATAAGTGGCTTACTATAGCAATATTAATAAGATTAATATGATTCTACTCCATTTTTGATGGAAATCAGTAGAAGCTTAGCAGTGAAGGGAAAATACATATTTGATGGTTTTGTTTGAAGCTGTGTAATCTTCAAATATGTCTCAGGTGTTTCAGAAATTTGGTGTGCATAAGAACTTAAAAACTGATGATCACCACAAATGTTTGCGTTTATAGTCCATATTCCTGACACTGAATCCAGCTAGCTATAATATTCTGCTGAGTGAAAGTAAAAGGCTAGGCTTTTCCCCTCACATTGTGCATCACAGATAGTCTGGGCTGCCAGAATCCACAGTGCTAACACCCATCACCACAGTGTTAAATAATTTCTTCAGGGGACCAAAGACTCTTCTATCCAACGGCTGCAGTTTGTGGCTTGTATGCGGTGGAAACGTTAGAAAAATTATACCTGAATATTTTGCTAACTGTAGGCAGTCAACAGAAAAATGGGTTTGATGATTATCGAGGATAATTAAATTTTTCTGGTTGATTGGTAGAGTGATTTCTACAAAATGCTGCAAATATTGAAGAAAGACCCCCCTCTCACGCATGACATTCCAGTGCTTCCCGGCGGAGTTCCCTTCAGCATAGAACTCTTGAAACGGACTTGGGACACCGACTCCGGAGGAATGCTGTTCCCTGCAGCACTTGCAGCTGACGTTGTGGTGTTATTAAGTACTCCTTGAGACACGGTGACACAGTTGCGGATTGATTATGCCATGGAGCTATGAATATATGTAAATAACATGTCCCCACAAACGTGAAGCAACCTCCGCCGTGTTGGTGAGTGCAGACATTAGGTTTGTCCCAGTCGGGAGGTTTGAGCGCTCGCTCCCTCCGCTCCGCGTAGAGCTGCGCCGCGCAGCTGTGAACTGGAACAGTGCTCGCTCGCGTTTTATTCTTACTCTTGCACGCCATGCAGTGCTTCCTCCTATAACAGCGCACACCTAAAAGAGCAAAACTGTGCACAGCTGATTGGGTGGAGGTCGAGCGCCGCTGGCCGTATGCGAAAGTGTGCGAGAAAAGACAGCCGAACCGCCGGCTCACGGACGCCGTTTCTGATGCCGTCGGCCGCCCATCCGGACGACGCCTCGCGGAGAAACTGGCGGGACATAGCTCAACAGCAGCGCGCAGGAAACTGCCGCTCTCCTCCTTCCTCGCTCTCGCAGACGAACAGGACACCTCATGCAGCGCTGAGGGCGCCACAGCAGACGCTGTAAACTCTCCTACTTACGGCGAGACACGCCGGCGGATGCGCCCAGTTGCGGTGGTCAATAGGCCCTGTGTTCCATCCTCCCTCTATGGCCCAAACACCCCAAAATCATCAGAAAGCGTAATTATGGCCAGTAGCCCAGCCCAAACTGTCTCCTCCGGAGGACCCTCCGTCGAACCCTGGTTGCACACCCGTGAGCACGTTATGGCAAATGTCACCACCATAACGCGCCTCGACGATGGCTCCGACTCCGAACAGGAACCCGAAAAAGCCCCGTCAGAAGAGAGTTCCACAGGTGAAGGCCAGGTCCCACTCAACGCAGAATCACAGGAGCCTTGTGTAATACCTAAAAAAATCTTTCGCGCGCCGAACAAAGCAGCAAAAACTAGTGCTACATTCCCCATATCGAATAGGCTCTCATCGCTGCCCGTAGACCCCCCCGGCACAAAGCAAGCCCGGGGAAATAGAGGTAGAAGAGACAGAAAGTCTCCGAAGCCTCAAATAATACCAATCACAAGTCAAAACCAAAAACAAATATGCCCAGACAGAAAAAACTCTCAATTGGGAGTTTCTATATCGAAAAAGCTACTCTTCACGGCCCAGGCGGCCTCACCAGCCATCTTAGAGGCTACTGCAAAAAAGCTCTCTACGCGCACATCAACGCACATGCACTAATCTTAAGGCCCAGCGGCATCGAAGTCCACAAGACCATAGATGATATACTGAAAACAAAAAAAACGAAAACTGACACAGAACTCAACTACTACTGCCTCAGAGCTACCGCGGAACGACGCAAAGGGCTCATCATTAGGGCCTCGATGCCAACCTGAGCTGCGAGGGGCTCCATAACGAAATCCAAAATCACGGCATAACTGTCCACCACCTAAGCGAAATCAGGAGAAAAGTAGCTCTGGATTCATTTAAAGGCGTTGGACTGTATGCCTTTGAATTCAACCAAATACAAATCAACGAACTAAAGAGAATAAAACACCTAATGTATATAAAGATTAAATTCGAAGAACCGCGAGACAAGGACAGAATCCCACTCTGCCTGAATTGCTGCGCTTGGGGGCATACCAAGAATGGGTGCAGACGCCAAGCACGTTGCATGGGTGGTGCGGGTTTTCACAACTCTGCCCAATGCCCGGTCCAAGACAGAATGAACACTCTGCCAAAATGTGCGAATTGCACAGGAGCTCACCCCGCCAACTACCGGGAATGCAGTTTCCACCTTGAAGCACTATCAGCAACTCGAAAGGCTTCGCGCCGCCCGCGAGCAGCGAAACGGCAACACACCCGCCCTGACCAACGCGCAGCAGCGCACCAACTTCCCGTCGCTCGCATCCTTAGCATGGTGGGGGCAAGCCCTCTAATCACGTCAGAGCCCGCAGCCAATCGGTGATCAGCACGCGGCGATTCAGGCGCGTTTTCTGAGCTAAAGGAGCTGATTGACCTCGTCAAAAGTTTCAACTTCTCGAAAATAATAACTGCTGCCAAAACATCAATTAATATTCTGAAGAGCCCTGGCGACTTACTAATCAAGGCTCTTACAGCCTTCTAAGCAGTAGCCGAAATCTTTTAAATGGCCCACATAGTCAACCGGCTATACAGCATCGCGTCCTGGAATTCTGATGGATCCTGTATTAAAACTAAAACGCTGATTGAAAAAGTCTGTGATGACTATGGCACAGCCATCCTTCTACTTTAGGAGACGCACCTCTCAGGCACTCGCACCTTCAACTTAAGAGGCTTCCACGTATACAGGAATGATAGGACTGCCAGGCAAGGTAGCGGAACGGCAATTGCTATTAGAAAACCCTCCCGCGTACGAGACTAACCACGCCCCAACTAACAAACTTAGAAGCGACAGTAGTAGAAGTGGGAACGGCCACTGGTCCTATAAAATTGAAATCCGTGTACAGAAGTCCAGCACAGCCTCTACTCATCGAAGATTGTGACGCAATCACAGCAAACTGCACCACAGTAGTTATAGGCGGCGACGTAAATATAAAAAGAATAGAATGGGGATGTCGAAATAACATAACAGCCTGCAACTTTCTCCACAACTATATTGACTCTCATCCCTCATTCATCTTACACCCTCCCAACGGACCCACCCATCTCGTCAATCACATACCTCACGACATTCTCGACCTATTCATCCACTCCCACTCCACCCAACAGTTCCGCGCCCGCTAAACGAACTTCACTCCGACCACCTCCCAATAATCTCGGCAATCTACATGGGAGCCTTCCCCTTCTCATTTCGTAAAAAAAATTATCTGCAAACACGGACTGGAGGAAATATCGCGATCGTGTGGCTCGCAAGATACATGTCACTAATAGAACCGCCGAAACGCCCCACGAAATTGACGAAGCCATAGCCAAATTCGAATTTCAGATCCGAACAGCGTACAACAAACACATGTCCAAAATTCAACAAAAAGGCGGACGTGAACCTCTTCCACCTTACATAATATCCTTAATTCAAGCACGACGCCGGGCGCAAAGACGGTTCTAGTCCTCACGAGATGCTATTGACAAAGCCATTTTCCAAACCAAACGACACGCAGTCGCACGTATTTTAACAATTATCGAGAAGCACAATGGGACAAATTTATAGCAAAAGCGGAACTAAAGGATCGTAACAACTTATGGAAAATCCAAAAAACACTGAAAAATCCGCCAGCACCCATCACGGCCCTTAAAAACCCGGCGACTTCAAGCAAAACCTATGACCGAGCGCGCAAAGGAGAAATCTTTGCCACAGTACTGCAAAAACGGTTCACGTCAATCCCTAGGCACTCTTACTCCATAAGAAACGGCTTCTACCACCCCGTGACGGACATACTGCCCCAATGACGACTGCATACCTTCGGACCACGGAGGAAGACAAACGGACGGAAACAAAATTCAAGTCACAGAAGAACTGCGCGAAACAAACTTCTGAGTGATGAAAAAGTGAGCGGGCCAGATCAAATAAGCGGGAAGATGCTCAAGCAATTGCCAAAAAACGTCGTCCTTGCCCTAGTCCAAATAACGAATGCTTGTATAAAGGTTAGCTACTTTCCAAACTGGAAAAACGCTCACATAATAATGCTGCACAAGCCCAATAAAAACCAAACGGACCCTGAAATCTGCCGCCCTATCAGCCTTGTATCCCAAACATTGAAGTTATTCGAAAGGTTACTCCTCCCCGCTATAAATAAAAAATTAAATGACGTCCAAGCCATCAGGGCTTCGCAATTTGGGTTTCGCAAATGTCACTTTGGGGTCGGCAATGCAAACGTTTCGACTTGCAATGGAAATTGCTTCCACATTCTCCCGTCGCTGTGAAATCCCTGCCATATTCAATTTCTCCTATGCATTTGACAAGGTAAACCATCATATTCTTCTCAAGAAATGGCACAAATTCCTACCAACTTATCTATGCCGTCTCCTGTTTTGCTATCTTCAAAACCAAACTTCCTAGTTGAGTATCAAGCTCACAAATCCACTCTTAAAAACATTCTAGCTGGCGTCCCGCAGGGAGCCGTGCTCTCTCTTCTCCTTCTACATTCATGACCTTCCTCAATCTCCGCACGTCTCAGAATATCTTTTCGCCGATGATGTGACCTTTGCAACGGAATTCGAAAGACCGAAAGCGCAGTCAGAAAATGGCAAGAAGCAACCAACAACCTCGAAACATGGATCAAACTAAATGGCATTACAGTAAACCCCAGCAAATGTCAGGCAATACTGTTTAGTTGGTGCCGAGAAAAATCCCTCACGCCTCTCAGCATTAAAGGCACGCGGCTCCCCTGGCAAAAACAAATAAAATACCTGGGAGAAACCTTCGACGAAAAACTGTTGTGGCAACAGCACTGTATACAGGCAGCCAAGAAAATGGGCTCATACATTGCCAGACTAACACCAATTCTCAGAGCGAAAAATGTGTCAAATAAAACCAAAGCCCTTCTTTACAAAACGTGCATTCGTTAGCGCGGGCACATACGCGTGCGTAACTTGGGCGACGGCATCGAAAGACAACATCTGTTATATCTCCAAAGCCGAGAATCGCTTTATCCGCATTTCATTCGCAGTGGTGAAGGTGGTGGAAAGCATGCGGGCTGATAAAGCCGCATATTATGCTAAGAAGCTAGAAAAAGACGAAATAAAACAGCTTATTTCATGGAAAAGCTTGAACTTTTTAAAGAAAAAAATTATTTACTTGAAGAAAACAAGGAGAGAAGTGAAAGTGTTTCTCCTGAGACATAAAGTTATATAAATTTAAAATAATAAAGATTGTATTACCCCGTGTAATATGGCATTTTATCTTAAGAACTTCTATTCACAATTCTGTTGTATCATGGTGGCAAAAGGATTTTACTGCCATTCTTTGCTTAAATGGGTGATTTTAATACTCTGTATAGGTTCATTGCTCTTCCTGGAGGTTTTAAGAACTAAGTTCAATTTCGTTCAAAGGACATTTTTTTAGAATTGCTCTCCTGCAAGATCATGGATGACGAAGCCCATTATCTGTGAAATACAGAATTGTGTAAACGAAACCATGTCAATTGTTAGACTTCATGAAAGTGTTGGAAATTTGTCAGGTTTGGCCTTTATGTCCTTATGAATTCTGAACTACAGTTATCTGAATTATTTTAATCTTTGCTGGTCTCTTAAATAACTTTCAGAATAGTAACATCCAGTACAGATACACCAGCTGTTTGCTTCAGCTTATTAGAAAGTCGTGGTATTGAAAAAAATGAACATTGCTAAATGTTTCTTGATCAAGAAATCATTTATACTTAAGTAATTTAACCAGGATGTAGGGGTGTGTTAGGGATAGCGTATTAAGTGACTTGGTTTTCTTATAACGAAGATTGAATTTATTTATAAAGAGATTTATTTATAAATTAAAATTATTTGAGATATTGAGTGACTTGTCCATGTCCTACATTAAATTAGTAAAATATTTCGTGTTTGGGGGAGGTGGACCTCCATGGGTTTCCTTCTAGAGACCACTTCCATCATCAGCCACGTCTTTATTGTTTCCATTATCTTCCTCATTAACATCTTCTAGAACATTTTCATCTACTTCTATCTCATCTCCAAGAGCAGTATTACGTAGTACACAACATGTACGAATGGTGTGCACCACCATTTTTATGTCCCTGAATTTCACATGGTAGAACAACCTAACCTTTTGTTTCAACAGTCTAAAGCAATGTTCAATCAAGCATCTGTTTGAACACAACAATCTGTTATATCGCACAACTGCAGGTGGCATAACCCCTCTTTCTTTATATGTAGTCATCAAATTTGGAAGCCATGGGTACGAACTGTCCCATAAAATGTCGACCGAAACCTCATTCTCGACATGAATCATGAAGGTTATCTCCACATCAAAGGTGACCTAAGGTCACGTGCATCAGGAACTGACTCTTGGATACCGACAATACGTCTCTGATCCATTTCTCATTGTCACAGACCACTTGCAACTACAAAGAAAGGAGAAAAGGTTGATAAACAATTGGTGCAAGCAAAGAAATTAAGAAACTGCCCAACAGCTATTATCGCTTATTTTAAATAAATACAAATAACCGAAATCCAAAAGAATAATCAAAAACTATAGCGCAAGTCACAGTGTACTGGTTAAAAATCCGACATTAATAGCGAGGTCAAGAAAATAAGCGAGCAAATACTTAGAAATGTAAAGCGCAAATGGCAGTGAGGAATCGTTTGAATAGAAGAGTAGAATAGAAACAACTCTGTAGCCCTTGAAACCTAATAGCGACGGGGTCGGAAACAGAGTGGGTCGAAGATTGACCTAAAGGACAAAACAGAAGTGTGCCACAAGTGGATGTATTGACGCACCAAGTTTGTGGGAATGACGGGATGTTTAGGGGAGTGACAGCGGACAGTTGCTCCGATTAGTCGCCGTCTACGACAGGGGAGGTCCCGTGGTGTTCTTCTTCTGAACCCCTGACACCACTCGGGCTTATTGTTATTACTATTCCTTTGCTTAACGAATAACTTTGTAATGTGTCGGTTGAATATAAAATCTACTCCAGATTACAACCATCATGGGTGAATCTAAGATGATCTAGGGACTGTCGGCGCCTCTATAATACTTGGCGCAAAATGTGGGCTATTTCAAATAAGCAATATCTTGCACTTCCCAGTATTTTGAATGACCTGGGAGTTTAGCCAAGTTCTTAAATAAACTTTGCGGAACAAATTCCAATGCTCCGATAAATGTCGAGATGACCTGTTACGCCCCACGTTCGTCTGATCCCGATTGCCCAACCCTTGCTTTTAAGACGTTTCCCTGCCTCCGTGGTTACGAGGTTTTGATCGCAAGGCGCAGCCAAATTACAAGATGTTTTCTCCAAATCCTGGGGTGACAATACCTGGTTTGTTTGCCGTTATCGTGCGATCAGTTAAAATTTGGTCGTACAATAGTGTACATAGTCCAACAGACGGCACCGGCTTTGATGTGTGTTCGTAACAGTTGGTGCTTGTGTTCAGAACTTTTAGGGCAACTTACAGGTCTGCCAGTGGAAGTAACTACACACCCTATAGTGTCTTTTCAAGTTTTCTAGTCTTTGCTAGAATTGGACAAGCTGACACAATATGATGAGTTGTTTCTGTTCCTGGCAGATGCTGCATTTATCACCTTGGGACATTTTAAAAATAGTTTTATCATAACGTCATGTTCTCATGACTCTCTAACTGCTTCCGATTCTGCCTTCATTCTTTCCCTTTTAAGCCACGTAAATGATTGAGATTTATCGATCAGCATAGTTTCCATTTTCTTTAAATATTGTCCATGCAGTGGTTTGTCTCTCCACGGTTTCTTTAACACTTTTAGTATCTCACATTTCCTGTTAAGTAAGCATCAGAAGTTCAGTGTCTGTGTTATTCTGCGTCTTGTGTAGTTTTCTTCGCAATGCGTGGGCAGAAGCCGCGTGGTGTCTGCTGTGACGCGGCAGCCGCTGTGAATGTCGCGCCCGGAAGTAACGTTTAAGCCCAATGCTCTACGAGACCAACATTTTTTCGGGAAACTGGATCTGCCGTTCTTCATTGAAATCGACGTGGAAATTGGAATCCTTTTTAGTAATTGGGAGCTTCTGATGAACAGTATACATTAGCAAGAATAAATATTAAAAAACTAACATTTTTGTTTGTATTGCTGAAAACTAAATAATTCCTTTAACAGCTATAACCCGTCAAATGCATAAATGCTGTTCGTAACACTTCAAATATTTTTTCTTATTTTTTACATAAGAATTTAGTCATACAAAACGTTGTATTGGCAGATTTTTTTTACTTTCTCCATACAGCTTACGCAGTGTAAAGTATTGTACTGCTGGGGGAAAATCGACTTTTTGACAGTAAATCTCTTGTTGTTACTATTTGTAGTATATTACTTCTGTAACACATTGTGTAGTTAGAATCCATGTTCAGTGAGTCCTTGATCCTGAAAAATCGATTGACGGCAAAGCGTCTATCTGGTCAACGCTAGCGCCTAAACAGTTCTGATAATTTTCTCCCAAACTGATATTTCTCGATCGATGTGAACAAACGCGAGGCTTTGGGACTTTTAAATTAATATTTTGTGTTGGAGGGTTCTTTATATGAAGCCAAAGAACAATTTTAAATTTTTGTTAAAATTGACTTCATATTTGTTGATTAAACTTTTCTCTCCGTAAGGGAGCAAAGTTTAATCAACAAATATGAAGTAGCGTAAGGGAGGCTTAAAAATGCTACTGCTCTCAGTATCGTTAAAGTCACTGATTTTTCGAAATTGGCAAAATTCCAAAAATTTGTTCGACTTTCTCCGACTACAATATTTAAGATTCAATTGCTCAAAGATATCTTGAAATAAGGACATGTAATTTTGTTTTCCAAAATACCAATAAGTTCGTGTAAGAATGTGATGTCAAAAATGAAAACAAATCGTTTTAAACAATTATTTTCTCAAAAACTTTTCTAATTTTGTTCGTTAAGTGCTGTTGTAGTCCTATAAGCTTGTGTTTGTATGTGTCCTAATGGATACTTGATTTTTTGAATAGAACTAACACTCGGTCTTGTATTGTGATCAAAGAAAAATGTATGACAGTTTTCATCCACTTGCAGGAACTAAAACCACCAATCGGCGTGTTTCTTGATCCTGAGGAGGTTCCCGGTGAAGAGGTTAACCAGGCAGACGAGGTAAGAACAACACCGTCTAACTCAAATTTCATTTTAAACAATTATCTCCAAAATGTGTTTTCTGAAAGCCTTTTTAAAAAATTGTTGCTACAATAAGAGATGTTAGTGATAATGAGAAAGCCAGAATTTATTGCTTTCAATGGATATCCGGACAAATATATTCAAACAGCTGGCAAAGGTCATTTCATTAAAAAAAATCATTAAGAATATGAATGATTTTTTTGACATTGGGATCAATGAAACAAGTGACTATTTGACATAATAATTTTTTACTGTGAAGCAAAGGTGATCATCCATTGCATTTCAGTCGTCAATAATTAATCAGAAATGACATAGCATTTATAAAAAAGGTAAATCTAAACAATTAAAACACACTAACTACAGGCTATTAATTAATGAAGCTAATCTCAAAAGAACTCGCCACCTCATTTATACAATTATCTGCCAGTTCTGAGTAATATTGTTTTTTTAAATTTAATGAATGCCAACTAGAATATACTTAGGGCACTGTAAAATTTCACAGACTTGTAACCAAAGGTTTGTTGTGTTCTACTGTACTTCTAAAAAATTCAAGTCAATTTGTATTTCTAGTTGCATGATCGTGAGTAGAACCTAATGAATTCATACAAATGTGAATTGTCTTTTATATAAAGAAGACACTGAAAAATAAATATGGCTGGAACAGTCATAATACGTAACTTTACAAAACTCAACCTACAGTGGCTGCGTGTGGGATGACCACAATAATCTCACACATAGTTTTTGCATTTTAAATAGTCTGTCAACAGACCAGTGATCCCAAAGTAGCGCGCTATAGCTTAAATGATTGTGAATATGAGAATAATCTTCTGTTTCCAGAACCCTTATCCTAACACACAGTGTAAGTCTTCGTATTAAATAAACCCTTTGCAAACGTTTGATTCTGCTTAATGAATGTGATCCTCCCAATTCAAATTTTGATAAATTAATATCCCCAAGAAGTTACATCCTCCATGCTTTCTTAAAGGCCTACAATAACTGCTGCTTAGACTGTACCCTGAATTACATTGTCACTTTGGGCTATGGTAGTTATACAGGCTACTTTTATTTTATATATTTTGTTCTTGAAAAATGTTCTTTTTATTCATTTGCCCTCACATTCATACTTGAACTATACTTACAAACACATTCATTCATTCATTCAAGTACACTACAAAACAAATCACTGCACTATATAAACAACTGTGCCAGACTCTGGTTGTCTTATATAATCGTTGCCAAGCGGGACGCCGTATTCTGTTTGGTTCCAGATATTTTACTTCAATACGCATGACTGTAGCGGTTTTTTGGCTCTTCGGTGTAGAATCGTATTTGCTCTGAATTATCACAATCACACGAGATGTATATGTATGTCATGCGATTCCAGTGTATGAAGTTCACGGAATTTTGCATTTCTGGAATTTGACGTTTACGGAATATTTCTCCCATCCCAAATGCCGAGCATTTTACCCACCCGAAAATTTTCATGTGGGTATAGCTACACACCAAACCCACATTATCCATCGACGGTAGGGTACGGCTTGCGAGGAACAACGCCAAGAAATGTGGGATCAGGATTTGTTAGTCCAGTGGAAAATAATGTAAATATATACTTTTTGATGTTCATTATTTGCGATAATTAAAAAGTCTTGCTTCGAAAATTGTGTTTTTTGGGGGAGGGCTCACATAGTTATTCTAGAGACCCATGGAATTGATGGGTGGCCCTGTTGACGGAAATCGTATGTAAGATGCCAGAAATCCAGTATTTGCACATTACCCTGTTAGTGAGTTGTAAAGTACTAGAACCTTCGAAGCACACTTCTTCGGACGAAGTCGACAATACCCATCACATGGAGGCTAGTTTAGGTGAAGTGCGTTACAGTGATGAATAGAAATTATGGGATAAACATTGGCCAGCTGAAGGGACGTTTCGAAGGCTAGAGAGAGACAAGGCATGCAATTTCGAGATTTACTACATTGGTCGTATACATGTAGTATATACCCTTTACCACCTAACCACCTCACCTAACTTTGAACATCGTTGTCACTTCCTTTAACAATTTCGAATTAGAAACGAGGCATGGGTCTTCACGAAAGAACCTTGCCTCTGTACAACGCCTAATTTCCAAACCATTCTCAATCCCCAAAACGTCTTCGGCTAGCGAAGACAATCCCTTCACTTTAGCTAGCACCTCAGGCTAGTGTCGATATTATTCGAATGATGTCCGAAACCGTTCAAGATTTATCCAAACTGTGGCTAACATACCACCCCATCTCGAACATTAGCCGTCTTTCAGTTCAATTTAAAATCATGCTGTCCGTCGGTTAGTGAACAAGTTAGGGGTAAAACCGTAATACAAGATTTTTACCAAGATGTGTATCCCCTACCGAATCCACCTGGCTAATGACGCGGCCTTTTGAATTTGAAGCTAATATTTTGATTTTAGTGCGTACTTTCTGTGTAGGTTTCAAATTTTTCTCGAAAATGGGTGAATTTGTTTGCAATTTGTTTCACAGATAGGGCAAAGCACGCACATGGAACTGACCTAGTTTGGATTTCCTTCAAAATCTTTGAATTTTCGAAAATTTGCAAAAGTTAACATTTTTTCGTTTTTGTTTAATTACAATATTTAGCATAAACTTTGGCTTAGCAAAACAACCATACAAATCAGTTCTTGAAATCAGGTCATGTTCAATAAGTTCAAAATTAGTGCAATTGTGCATGAAAAAACACAATTTTGAAAAAGTGTTCTTGGACAATTTTAGAAACGTGCACTGTTTGGATTTTCGTTTAACCATGTGCATTTTCGAAGTTTCCAAAAGTTACAAGTAATGCGAGAAAATGTGCTCTTGTAGCACTGAGTGTAGTGTGAATTTACCTTTGGTCATTGAGGTAGTTACATTACCCAGTGTGCTTGTAACTTATTGACTACCTACTTGTTCACTGAATGAAATGCTAGTGAAAATGAATAAGAGGCAATGAACAACTGGCGCCCTCATACATTTCACTAATTGTTTCTTTATCTGCTGCAGGACCCTTTGGCCTGGGACACAGAAACCTTACGTTGCAAAAGCGAGAAGACTGCCGGTGAGTGTTCCAAAACAAGTGGACTGAAGTGCCTGCATCATTGTTGTATGTACTATTTCTTCAGTTTTCATTTAATTAACTGTTAATGCAAAACGCGTTTGTTCTTAGAAAGGCTGCGTAAAGGTATGGGCAGGGGGCAGACAGACGAGCACACACAGACAGATGGATAGACTGACAAATATTGTAGTGTCAATAGTGTTTCTATTATATTGTTAATAACGGGCGAACGAATGGATGGAGTCGAGAAGACTGAAGAGCGCTTAGACCAGGGCCTCAAACTGAGTACGCGCGTGCTCGGAGCACGCGGGACCCGCGGCGAAGGTAAGTCCGCGGTCCGGTGTCTCAGGGATGCACAGGAGGCCGCCTTGGCGGGACGCCGGCGACGTACAAGTTTCAGACCGAGTGGGCTCTTCTTGTGCAATGAGTGCGGAGGTGATGCGCCGTGTTTAATGTGCACTTTTTAATTGTAAGCTTCATCATTTAAATTCAAGACTAAGTTGTAGGTTATAGCAAATCCAGAAATAGCATTGTTTCACCATTATTCTATAAATTTTGAATTGTTTTTGTCGATAAATATGCATGTCGTATTTCTTTAAATATTTATTTTCAATAATAGTGTCAGCGTTTTATGAAATTTTACATATCTTGATTTAGTATATATTTTAGTTTATGCTTATTTTCTTAAAAGTATTCGTTGAGGGTTTTCTAATTACTATTAATAGTTCTCATACGTTGCATTCTATGAGTAGAAATGTGCGATAATGTTTCCTTAGTGCAGTTTCTGCACTAAGTGCCCCAATGCAGTTTCTGTTTACTGTCGATTTCCATTAAAAGTTGGCAAAATTTAATAAATTTGTTTGTGATATTCCAACCCGCCCGCACAAAGTTTTCTCGCCCCTGCTGTGACACGAGGGACGTAGGTAAGCCGGTATCGCCGCGTACCCGAAACAGTTGCGAAGCCATTCGCGTTTTCTTTTATCTGACGGCCCCGGCTTAGACGGACAAATATTGTAGAAGCAATGGCGTGTTTTAATATGGTAATAACCTTAAGCGTTGGAAATTTATTTCTTATCGAATCGCAGATAGATGATCCTGTTTTCGTTTTGTGAAGAAGTGATTAAAAATCAGTCATTACTGTGGTCACTGCCCCCGAATTTTGCTGTTTCGTCGTTCTCTCATGCAATCTCTCATGCAGATCATGTTCATATGAATTATCCCTATTATAAATTTGAGTAGAATTCTGTGACAAAATCTGATGTACCTTTCACTTTCTCACCTTTTGTAAGAAGAGATGGTATTGATATCGTGCGGAAATCGGAAAACGAGTTTTCGACATAAAAGTCCTTATTTTGTTCGGTGTCCTGGCAATGAAGTGAATCAAAAGTTTTCTTGTATATAGTAAATTACTGCTTCTAACACGTTATTTAGTCAAAAGCAGGGTTTTGTAGGTCCATGATACCTAAAAATCGATCAAAAGTCTGTCATATCGTCTTTCGCTTTTGGGTCAACTCTAAGGCCAAAACCGTTCAGCCAATTTTCTCCAAAATTAGTACTCGTCGATGGATTTAAAGGAACTATGGACCCTGCGAGTTTGAAACAGTATTTGGTTTTTAGGGGTGCGTTACATGAAACCTCAAAACCATTTTCAAACTTTTCTTGGAAGTGGCTTCAAATTCATGGATTAAACCGTATCCTCGGAGAGCGTAAAAGTAAAAAATGGCGCAGAAGATAGACAAGAATGGCGCAGATCCCGCTTGACCTGAAATCCTTGACTTTTCAAAAATTGCTGTTTTCGGCATCTTACTCTAGTATATTAATAAAGTTAACTTTTGTGTACTTAATAAAATTTAGGACTAGTTTTTAGTTTTTGAAGATATGAATCGTTTTAGTATAATTTGGCGTGAAAGTAGATACTTTGGAAAACATTTTAACACATATCTCAAAAATTTTTCCAATTTTTCTTTACATTTCCCCCGCGTGTAGCAAACAAATGCACAGAAATGAAATACGTAAAAGAACTAACCTCCCTTCGAAACGATCATGCTCCGACGATCAACACGCCCATGAATGTTACTTTGGCTAACGCCCTGCGGCTAATTGTTGAAATAGCCACCTTACAGAGGTAGCCAAAGTTTTATCGTGAATCCGAGTAATGTTTATATTCATACCCTGCCTGTTGTAGTCGTAATGACCTGTACCTGGTTAACCGTCGTCTAGCTAGCGGAAGAAGTGCATTTTTGTAAACATCTGTAAATAGCTTTTGGTGCATAATTCCAGTAAAAATGGTTATCTGACATGAGAAAATACCCTAGAATCTAACTATTTAATATTTCAGTCTTATGCACCCTACGCTGATAAATCTATCGATTCACCCTCGAAGCATACTGGTTGTATTAATCGAATAATATAACCCAAGATTTCAGAATGTATACTTGAAAAACACCGGAGTCCACTGACCACCGAATCAGTTTTCCTCGTAGAGATGAGAACTCCGTAGACCCTAAACAAATTTTTCTATGTCATGGCCCTAATCAAGGATTAATTGTCCAAGGACTGCTATTGAGCCATTGGTCAACTCCCAAATAGCAACTAGAGAGATGTTAGTTAACATATGCCATGTTGGTGGGTTCGTTATCCAAATGAGAGGTTTCGTGCTAACAAAGTATTTCTTTCCACAGGTGGAGAATACGACACAGCAGGTGACTTCTTAGATTCAAGAAGTCCTGTGCGCAAGGAACATTCAGCAGAGTCGCAGTTCCTGAAGCTAAATATCGCAAAGCATGTAGACGAACAATCCGTCTGTGGTAGGAGTTTGTCAGAAAGTAGGTGTGAAATTCGGGTTGAGCAGAATGAGGACGGTGGCAATGAAAAAAGTTTTAAGAGAGGGCTGATACAGATCCAAAGCGCTGATAGTTCTCATCAGTGTTTTCACTGCCTAAAGTGTTTCACACAGAGGACTCATTTAGTTGATCACATGCAGATCCACAGCGGTAAACGTCCTCACAAATGTTCCGTGTGTCAAAAGAATTTTAGGAAAAGCAGTTCTTTAGTTTACCATATGCGGACCCATAGCGGTGCACGCCCTTATGAATGCTCTGTCTGCGAAAAGAAATTCAAACAAAAAAGTGATTTAGTTAAACACGTGCGGATCCACAGCGGTGAACGTCCTCACAAATGTTCCGTCTGCCAAAAGTGTTTCAGACTGCGGTCTTGTTTGGTTGAGCACCTGCGAATCCACAGCGATGAGCGTGCTCACACATGTTCTGTGTGCCAAAAGAGTTTCACAAGTAAAAGTGTTTTAGTAAAGCACATGCGGATTCACAGCGGGGACCGCTCTCATAAATGTTCCGTTTGCCAAAAGTGTTTCGCCCAGAGGAGTATTTTAGTTAACCACATGCGGATCCACAGCGGGGAACGCCCCTATAAATGTTCCGTCTGCCAAAATAGTTTCAAACAGAGGTCTTGTTTGGTTGTGCACATGCGGATCCACAGCGATGAGCGTCCTCATAAATGTTCCGTCTGTCAAAAGAGTTTTAGACTGAGGACTACTTTAGTTGAGCACCTGCGGGTCCACAGCGGTGAGCACCCTCATAAATGTTCCGTCTGCCAAAAAAGCTTCACTCGGAGAAGTAATTTAATTAAACACGTGCTGAACCACAGGAGTGGGTTCCCTCATCAATGTTCCGTCTGTCAAAAGTGTTTCAGAGAGACCAGTCTTTTAGTTAGACACATGCGGATCCACAGCGGTGAACGCCCTTACAAATGCTCCGTTTGCATAAAGAGTTTCACCGAGAACCATATTCTAGTTAAGCACATGCGGATCCACAGCGGTGAACGCCCATACAAGTGTTCCATCTGCACGAAGAGTTTCGCAGAGAGCGATATTTTAGTTAGGCACCTGCGGATCCACAGCGGTGAGCGTCCTTATAAATGTACTGTCTGCCAAAAGTGTTTCACAGAGAAAGGTCATTTAGTTAGACACATGCGGATCCACAGCGGTGAACGCTCTCATACATGTTCCGTCTGCCAAAAGAGTTTTACAGATAGTGGTCATTTAGTTAGACACATGCGGATCCATAGCGGTAAACGCCCTTACAAATGTTCCGTCTGCCTAAAACGTTTCACAGAGAGCGGTAGTTTAGTGAAGCACCTGCGGATTCACAGTGGTGAACGTTCTTATAAATGTTCTGTCTGCCAAAAGAGTTTCACAGAGAAGGGTCATTTAATGAGACACATGCGGATCCACAGTGTTGAACGCTCTTATGAATGCGCGGACTGCCAGAAGAGGTTCACAAATAAACGCAATTTAGTTACCCACATGCGGATCCACAGTATTGAACGCCCTCAAAATGTTCCGTCTGCTAAAAGAGTTTCACAGAAAGCGATAGTGTAGCTAATCACTGGTGAATCCACGGCGGTGAACGCCCTTGTGACTGTTCGGTCTGCCCGATAAGGTTCACGATGAAAAGTCTTTTAGTTAACTGCAATCATGTCCACACCGATAGGCGCCCTCATAAATGTTCCACCTGTGAAAAAAATAACAGAAACTATTGCCAAGAGAGCCTCACAGAAGATAAATAACAAGTACACTACCAAGGTTGGTGAAACATTTTACACGTGAAAAGTTCGTCTGCGGGAAAAAGATAAAACGGAGAAGTAATGGTGTTGCACACAACAATGCATAGTAGGATGCAGCAAAACAGATTTTCCCGGAGAATTTAATTCGACTTAAGTCGATTCACAGCGATGAATGTGTATACTCTGCCAAAAGAGATCTATCGCGCTATTTATTTTAATTAATTTCAGGTGGGGTATTCTATGCCAAGCGGAAGAAAAATTAAAATCACGATTTTTATATTTTTGTACATTATTTAGAACTAAATAATGAGATCCGTGTTTTTTAAAAATCGTTAAATGCTATTCTCTCCGAAGTTATGATTTTTTAAAATTTGGCGGACAAAACGTAATTTTGAGCGCATATCTCCTGATTTTGATTTGTAAAAAATACTGTTTACTTGAGAATCTTAATCACAATTTCACTGAAAAGATTATAAAATTCTTATTTGTTTAACACACATTAATGCTTTTAGAGCAGGCATATGGTATGTAGTCATAAATAAGAAAAAAATTATCCTTTCTTATTTAGTAGGCATCAAGATATTTCGTTGCCCATTTTTATGACAATATATTTTAAATACTCTACGCGCATGAAAATAATAGAGGATGGAGAAGCCATTGGTAGCGATGATTTTTTGTTTGTTCTGGAGCGCATTCGACCCATCGTGGAAAGGTCACATTTCTGATCGTGCGCCTTCTCCTCGCTGAGTTTTGACGAACAGTGCTGCAGGTATAGGGAAGTATGTGGAGCAGTGTGAGCTGTTGGCAGTTTTATTTCCAAAGTCTTAATTCTTTGTTGCATCGCAGAGGTCTCACTCAGTCACCGGTGCTTGTTACTTGAAGGTTGTGCAGTCTCCCAGTATGGGGGATGGAAAAGATCTGAATTCCTTGTTTTGAAGTGAGTCGGTCTGAAGTGTAAACGTGTACACTGATAGTTCTTTCATAAAAGTAGAGAAGTGTTTAAGTGTCTCGCACCAATGTTTTTTTCAATTCTTTTAAATTACAAAAAGTTGCAAGGAAACGTGCTGCCAATCTTGAGACAAGTGATTTCAACGATATTAGAAAACTTAAATGGAACTGATATATAAATGTGCCCCGGATTTAAAAGTATGTGATTCATGACGGTGGCAAACTTCGAAAATGGTGATCAGTGGATCTAGTCATTAAGACGACGGTAAAAGTGGAAAATCGGCGGTTCCAGGCACATCAACAGACCTGGGCAGTGACTAAATTATCCATTCATGTAATTAGCCAATTGAAGACGCAATCCAAGGAGTTTGCTGGTACAACGAGCACGTTACGCGGCATCCATTTATTACAAAGGGAGCACAGAAACTAAGAACACGTTTGTTGCTATTTCGGAAAATTTAAAACACGATACCACAGCCTCTCATTTATTCCAGAGTCATTAATGGAATTTATGAAAGAGAGATCATGCTGTTGAGGATAAAGCTGATGAAACTTGATTTGCAATTACTCGAAGGATATCTGGCACAAATTCACTTCAGGCATTTCTAATGGACTAAAAAAGAACAACAATTAAAATTTTTTTTTCAAAATCTGAGTGCGCACCTAGCACCTGCTTCCCGAGATACGTAGGTTAGTAGTAAATATGCTGTTACTTCATTGCCACATGCTTCATTGTTTTTCCGTCTTGAAAAATAGCTTACAAAAATAGAATTGTATCTAGTTATATTTGGTGTGTAGAAAAATGATTTATTTTGTGGTTAAAAGTTTTAAAATTGCGTTCATGTATTTTTCAAAAATCATTTAAAACAATTTTTAAAATGATTTTTGAAGTTGTAAAACATCAAATAAAAACGTATTTAATTACATATGAAGTGCAGTATAGTTTGATTTTCTACTTTAAAGACTTTCGAAGTTATCGCAAATTCAAAATATCGATGCGCTGAAATGCGCGATTTTGTTCGAAGTTAGAAAAACAACTCTAAAATTATTTGCACAGTGATAAAAGTAAAAAAAACGAGTCTTATTATTTTGATCATAGTTACCATAAAAATTACATCAGAGAAGTCAATTTAAAAACGGTGTTCGCTTTCACATGGAATACTGCATGTGTAAAGTGACAATACGTCCTCTTTTCCCCGGACATGACCTCTTTTTCTAGTAAGAAAGAAACTGTCCGGGTGGATTTTTCAAGAAAGGCGAAGCATACCCCTTTTTTATTAGAAAGGAAGTACTATTTTGAAATGCAATCCAGACGAATAATGTACGAAGGATGCTGCACTTTTTCCCGTTTCCGACATCATAATATTTCATTGCTTAAAGAAATGACATTTGACTTTCACTATCTCGCCTATCAATCGCCAAAATCCATATATATATATATATATATATATATATATATATATATATATATATATATATTGTATTATTTTCTCCCTGAAATGCGACACTGCTGCCATCAGCTGGTACGTTTTGTATGGTGGTGCTGGTTATAGATTCTGTGCTCTGTGGTGTAATTCTATTCTGCTGGCGTGTGGAGTTAATACTGCACTGGTGTTTATATTTCGAAAAGGATGCCTAAAAGAAATGCCTTGTTTAATGACGTATTGAAATGTTCAAAGCGTTTGTTGCAAGATTCAAAGCGAAGTTTCCATTGTTGATGGAGATTTCATCATCCACAAAATACTTCTGGAATGAAAGTGGAAAAGACAATAATGATAATGAAGTAGGTCTATTGTGTATGAAAGATGTGATGATTGAAGTATTTAATTTATTAGTAGTACGTATTTTGTTTCGAAAAATAAATTTTTGTATTAAAACATTTTATATGAAGTGTCGTCTTTTTTATAAGAAATATGCACTTTTTCCATAATGAAAGTATGGTAACCATACTCAGGTGAGTTTAGAGCGGAGAGTGTCGCCTTGGAAGTCTCCTACCAAAACAGCTTTTTCCGAGATAATTTTAATGTCATTAATGTGCTGCAGCATCGAAATGCGTTGCTTACTTAAAGTACTTATTGTACTTTTTTATTGCCGCAGAAATAGAACTTCGTCGGTGTCCTTTTGTTATTGAGTTGTGTGCTGCCACTGTTTCCCAGAGCTGCTGACGATAAAGTGAATACCTTCCCGACCGGCAGAGTGACCTGCATGGCTCCGCAGCTTGTCTCACGTGCTCTGAGTTTGACGTCTTCGCCACTTGCAGAAAAGAGATACACAGCGTTATTCAAACTTGAGTAGACGTCCACTTTTTTGAATGTATAATACAGATTTCTATTAGCAGTAAATTGGTGTAAGTGTTAAAGTAAATGGTTATTTTGTCAGTTTAAAGAAGATAATATGAAATATGTCTTCTATGGGTAGTAATGTAATTGTTTTTCAGCTGTACTGTGAAAATTGCACACAAAGTTAATAACATGTTCATGCCTATTTAGTGATTTATTAATTTAATTGGTTTTTGTTGTATTGACGAATGCTTTAGCAATTACAATGTATTTTAAAATATATATTGTAACAGCACAGAGCAATGATCTACTGTAAATTTATTTTTGTTATTATGAATGCCGTTCAGCAGTGGAGAGAACAAAATAATTATCAGAATCGCGTCTTTCAGTAGAGAATACAATTGGGCCACGAAGAGAGAAAGGTGTTGCGTGGTCATTAGTGGCCCGCACGCGAATAATATACATTCAAACATACATTCAAACATACAGGTGTCACGTAACTTTAGCTCCTTCTGTAACTTTTAAGCGGTTGAAGTTATTGCAATGCAGTTATGACGGAAGTGCATGAGGAAATGGGGCTAATTGATACCTGTATTTATTTCCATGTTATCACTTGTATTTTAGGAGATATGAGGTAACTTTGTTTTTCAAATGGAACTATACATATTTTTCGGTTTATTATGACGAGCGTAAAAACACGAATCCAATGATATTCTTAATGCCATATGTTAGAAAACCACTTTTTTGAGTAATTTTGATTTTTCTGTGACTAGGCGTGTAACGAATTTTTTGTAACAGTCCGCTACGATCACGCAGAGCTCTCGGAGAAGCAAACTGAAGGGAAGGGATATTAGTATTTGAAGAAACTAAAACATATTCTAAATATTCACGACACTGTTGCAGTTTGCAGTTTCAAGATCTCATTATTATCCTGTCGTATGACACCCCTTTAAATGAAGTTGAAATAAGTCTTATTTCAATACATACTACTTATGACATCCATATTTTCAATCCTTAAGTAATACAAAAATATGAAAATGCGGGAAGATCGAAAGGAGAGTTCAGGAAAACAAATTCCAAGTTTTGTAAATGTTTGGAATATGTACAGTATCTTCAAATCCCTAGGATCCCTTCCCTTCTCCGAGCGCGCGCTAGCAGGGGGAGCGCTGCGTGACCTTAATTGGCGGACTGTTATATTCAAAATATCCGTTAAAATCGCTGCGAAAACGGCGAAATTTACACGCTTTGGAAAATAAGAGCTTTTAATTATAATTCTTAAAATAATTGACAGAAATAATGTCTTTAATCTTCTTTTTGATGCTGTTCCAAGGTAGGTTCCAGCTTGGGCCATTTAGCGCCTTTTTTTAAAACGTTGGCTGCATTAGTTGTGTTCAGGTGTTTCGAGTCGGAAGCAGCGTCGAAGTGTTCACGGCGTTTTAAAGAAGATATATAATCATCTTTTAGAAGTTTAATTTGCAGGTAAGTGTTATTTAGTAACAAAATTATTTAATATAACCTTTAACCTACAAAACATTACAAACATTTCCTTGTACAGTTCTTAATAAGCTTGTTTCCATTTTGTGCATTACACAACCTGAACTATTGTCTAGCAAATCCAGTATCGTGTTTTTTTTAATGCTGCCCTCCTAGTGTTTTATGGATGGAAAGTTGCTATGCGTGCTTAGATGCGGGTAAATTAGGACATTGTCCCAAGTTACCTAACATTGATATTTTATAGGAATGAAAGAACACAAATATTAAATTCACTTTAAGATGAATAAATATGAATGCAAAGAGGAAAGAAAGCTAAGGAAAGGGGGGGAGTATCAAAGAATTAGACACAAGAAGACGGACAAAGCTCCGGATGAAGTAAGTGTTGCCCCCAGGAAAACGTGTGACTTAAGAGCTGAATCAAGAGTTAGGAAAACATGTAGTCTAGCTATATAAGAAACTTGCATGTCCTTCCAAGAAGCTGAGGAAATTGTTAAAAGAATCTACTGATGAACTATAAATAGAACCCAGTCACAAAACAAAAAATATTGTTTTACTGTATATTATTTAAATTTAGGGAAGTCATCATATCCGACATCCTCTATATAATGAAGGAAAATATAAATAAATTGTATGATAGTGACAATTAGATGCATTCAAAATAGTCTAGACCAAGAAATACACGTCGTCAGGACGTGTCAACAAACTTTGTGTTTCGTTCTTGAGTGTCTGGACGTGACATTATTTCGCGAAGCAAGGCCTCGGGAACATGACTTTGAACAAATGTAGATGGGTAGGAAAAATGGTAATGTTAGAATTTGGTAGAAGTCACTCTCTGATTAGCGACCGTCTAGAATAGAAGGAATATTTTCTCAGACTTAAGATGGGTTACAGTTTGATAAGGAGACGGTAAACATTCGTTAATTGACCGATTTGTTTTATGTGTAGAATATAATTTTTAATTTGTGAGTATCATTTTTAGCTTGTGTTATAATGTGTGATTCGGAGAATTATGTAAAATAGACTTTGTGTATGGGAAAGTAGTATACAATAGAATCGTAAATGGTGATTACAAATAAGTTAAATTAAAAGGGAGTCGCGAGTAGACGCAGGAAGGGAAAGCCGCGTTCACGGGCTGCGTTATTTGAATAGATTGGATCATAAAATATTATAATCAAATAGTTAGGATTTTCGGGGACCATTACAAAAATTCTCCGTGAGGGCATCCGGACAGATGACATCTTGAAGACCAGCGCAGAAGATATTTCCGTTAGCTTACAAGCATTTATGTGAAAGAAATACCGAACGGAATTTCTGAATGTACAAAATAAAGATAATCCAAATAATTAATGAGCTCAAAGTCAAAAATGTAAATGTCAATAAATGTTAACTTTCTGTTATCAAACCAAGTAAAATCTTGATAAATTGTAGAAATTGACATCATTTTAATAGCAGGATAATAGTGCAGAACTTCCAGAAATGGCGGCTCTGTAAAGAGTCGCACGTCTACATAAATTGGTAAAATTAGTCGGTATTATATGTCGAACTCAGGTTCGTAAAGTCACTGATTTTTTTATGGAGATTGAAGTAGCAAAATTAATTAGTATGATAATAAATGTAATATTAATCTGGACAACATAAATAATTAAATTTGTAAAATAGTGGAATATCCCAAATAACCGTCCAATGTGAAACAAGAATATAATTAGAACATTAGTAGAAAATCGGCGATATCTCAAATGGCTGCCCAGCATGGGGCAGAATAAAATAAATAATTGATTTGTGTAAGTTATTTAATTTAGTGTATCTCAGATGCCAGCGCATTTTGTAATATCAAGAGAGAAAGAGTTCAGAAAATGAGCAAGAGCTACACCAGAACTTCGTTCTCCGTTTTCATTTACAATATCTTCATGGCGAATCGGCATGAAGGCAATAGGCATCCAACTCTAATTTCTACATGAAATAAGTAAAACGAAGCTCATATCTTAAATGGGTGACAAGTCAGTGGTTTCATAAAAAAAATATACGAATACTATACCTGCCCGAATTATCCACTCGTTCGATAATTGTTGAATTTCATTCATGCAACAGTTGTAAATTTAATTTTATATTGGCTT